GAGGGCCGGCGCCGCAGCTCGGACGTGAGCTCGTGCTTGAGGAAGCGGAAGACCTCCTTGGCCGGCCCGCGGCGCTCGGGCTCCAGGGCGAGCAGGCGCTGGAACATGCGCAGTGCGGGCTCGGTGAAGCGACGCCACTGCGACGGCAGCCCCGGCAGGCGGCCCCGCTGCCAGCGCACGAACTCCTCGAAGAAGGCGTCCGCGCCCGACGCCGCCTCCCACGGGAAGTTGCCGGTGAGCACGCAGAAGATGAGCACGCCGAAGGCCCACACGTCCACGCCCGTGTCCACCGCGAAGCCGTCGGCGCGGCCCGCCTGGCACACCTCGGGCGCCGTGTACGGGATGGTGCCGCTGACCCGCTTCACGCGGCAGCCCACGCGGCGCGTCATGCCGAAGTCGGCCAGCTTCACGCGGCGGCACTCGCGGTCGAACAGCAGCACGTTCTCGGGCTTGATGTCGCGGTGCACCAGCTGCCGCCCGTGCATGAAGTCCAGCGCCAGGCCCAGCTGCTGCACGCAGCGCTTCACCGTGTCCTCGGGGAGCCCCACCTGCCGGCCCGGGACGGGGAGGGGGGAGTCGCGCTCAGGGACGGCCGCCTTCCCCCCGCCCCCCCCCCCCCCCCCCCGCCCCCCCCGCCCCCCCCCCCCCCCCCCCCCCCCCCCCCGACGGCGGTCCCCGCCCCGCCACCGCTCCCGCCTCTCAGTCCCCACTGCTGCCAGTCCCCTCTGGCCGTGGCCCTCCCTGCTGCCTGCCCCCATCCCACGGGGAGGGGGGTACGCCTGCTCCCTCCCTGGCCCGCTAGCTTTCACCCCGCACCCTCCTCCCCGGTCACTGCCCTGAGCACGCTCTCAGGCGGCAGCCATTGCGTCACTTCCCTTATAGGGACCCAAGCTCTGAGAGGCCTTGCCACTCGCCCCCTGGGCGCCGGCGCAGACTCCCCCCCCCCCCCAAACAGAGCCGGGAGCCTGGAGTCCTCCTGGCACTCTCCCCCCACTCCAGAGCACTTGCTCTGGGAAGCCCCTGGTGGCCCCGCTGCCTCGTCTCCCCTCTCCGGTCCCCACTGCTCCGGTGTAGCTGCTCGCTCCCGTCTGTCCTGGGGCCGGAGGACCCTCCCCGTCCCTGTGCCACCACACCAAGTACCTGAGGGGGAATGATGTCGAACAGGTCCCCTGCAGGCGCATACTCTTGGGCGAACACGTAGCAGTCCTCCGTCTCAAAAACCACGTCAAAGACCTTGATGATGAAGGGGCTGGAGGAGAGGCTGTTGGTGATGCTCACCTCCCGCAGGAAGTTCTTCAGCTTGGTCTTGCTCTTGTTCACAAACTTCAGCGCCATTTTCGTGCCTGACGGGGCAGCAGCCGCAGTGGTGAAGGCCCCTGACCCAGCGCTCCTGCACCCGACATCCCCAGGCCTGCCTGTCCGGGCCGCGAGGCCACGGGGGTCTGTCCTCATCCTACTGGTGGGAAACTGAGGCCCGGCGAGGGGAAAGGACTTGCCAGAGGCCGTGCAGCGACTCAGGGGTCAGCCTGGGTCTCCTGCACCCACCTGCAGCCCTCGGTGAGGACGGCCTGCTCCTTCCTCCACGCTCTCCCTTTCTGCCTGACATACAACATACTGATTTCATCTGGTGGCTCTCCCCCCACCCCCGTCCCCCGCTAGGACGTAGCCCCCTGAGCACAGGAATCTTTGTCTCGCTCACTGTTGTATCCCCAGCGCCTACAAGAGTGCGGTGCATCGTAGCTGCTCAACGAATGTGTGTTGAATGGGTGGATAAGAAGGAATTAGACACTGAGAGGTGAGGGGCCACAAGGCCTATTGTCCCGGACTTTGTGCTTGGGTGGCCGTCTGTACCCCCCTGGGGGATGCACACGTGTCCACAGAGCACTTACACATCACAGGCCCTCCCCTCGGCACTCCCCATTCACAACCTGCTTCTCCTAATGACCCTAGGAGGTGGGCCAGCCCGAATTGCTACCCTATTTTACAGAGGAGGAACCTGGGCACAGAGAGGTTAAGCCACTTGCCCAAGGTCACACAGAGAGCAAGTGGTTCCTCCTGCAGCTGTCAGTTGGCACGGAGCCCCCTGCCCCAGGTGTGTGCAGCTGTGGGAGCTCATGCAGTCCCTGTCCCTGACTGGCTGAGTGGGCGCCGCTGTGAGCCTATGCTGTGGGGAAGGCATCGTGCTCCTGGTTAAGCAAGAAGATTCTGGAGCTGATTAGTGGGGTCTCGTCCTGGCTCGAACCCTCTCTAGCTGCGTGACCTTAGCTGAGTGACTGGATCTCTGGGTCTCAGTGTCTTCATCTGAGAAACGGAGATGGCCATACTGACCTCCCAGGGGCATCTCCCACCTCTCCTTAAGCATGGTGCCCTGTTTCCAAGGATGCACCCTCAGCCCTGTCCACTTCCCTGGGGTCAGCCCTGACTTCTCTCCTGAGCTCCGGATGTCCCAGGGTCAGCCCCTCAGCTGTCCCCAAGCAGCCCACCCTCCAGCCTGGGCCCTGTACCCCCTCTCAGGTCTCCCTGAGCCGCTCAGGCTGCATCTCTCCACCTGGACCACGAACTCTGTCTCCCTACTGACCTCTTGGCTCCCGAAGAGAGCACCTGAGAGCCCCAGACAAGTCCCCACCCCTGCCTTCAAAACCGGCCGCCCTGCAGAGGCTCACCTGTGCCCTTGTAGGCCACGAGGTCGACCTTCCCATAGGTGCCCTTGCCTAGCTCCCGGACGAGTTCGTAGTGCTTGGTGACATCATTGGCGGCCAGGGTGCGGAGCGTCAGCGCCTGCATGTCTTCAGTGAGGAGGGGCACCCCTGCACCCAGCCCAGGGGCAGTCCCCGGCCCACAGCAGGGCAGGGAGTGGGGTGGCTCGGGCTCTGGGCAGCCCACGCTCATCTTCTCCCTGTTATGGGGGATATGGCATGAAATGTGACGTCAAGCCAGGGCCCCCTTGTCCACCCACCTCCTCCTTCCCCAGTACCTAGGGTCCCGGGATGCCGGGCTCAAGATGACCACAAGGGGGCGACAAGCATCTTTGCTGCATCCCCGTTCCCCAAAGCTTCAGGGCCAGGCCTGAGCCAGCACTCCCAGCAGACACCCGCAGTCCCCACTTGGGTGCCACTGGCCTATCTGTCTCAGGCTGTCATTCAGACGCTGCGTCAGACAAAGCACAAGTGTTTATGTCACACAGAGACACTCCATATACCAAGTTCACACGGGGGCTCCCATTCATAGATATTGATCCACACCTGCTGTTCACCAGGGGCTTGCTGTTCACAGCCGTGAGGACACAACATTAAACAGATAAGAATCCCACCCTCAGGACGCCTGGGTGGCTCAGTCGGTTAAGCATCTGCCTTTGGCTCAGGTCATGATCTCAGGGTCCTGGGATCAAGCCCCTCGTTGGGCTCCCTGCTCAGCGGGGAGTCTGCTTCTCCCTCTCCCTCTGCCCCTCCCCACCCTGTGCTCTCTCTCTCAAATGAATAAATAAAATCTTTTACATATAAAAAAAAAGAATCCCATCCTCATGGGACTTATGTTCCCGGGGGGGGGGGGCGATGGACAATACATAGTGAATACATGCATTATATATGCTCATAAAAGGTGATCTAGGCTTTTGAGAATGGAAGGCAGGGGGTGGGGAAGGTGAAGTCTGAGGGCAGGGATCACAGTATCAAATTCCTCACCCAAGTAGCGTCAGACAAAACTCTTGGCAGGACGGTGCAGATATGGCCACATACCAACCGTGGCCTTCCACCCGGCCCCTCCACAGACAACACCCCCCCCCC